GGGGCTGGTGCTGGGTGCGGAGGGGGGTTGTGGCTGGGGCTCCCTGGCAGCTGGGCAGGCTGGGGGTTGGGGCTCCCTGAGAGCTGGGGCTGAGGCTGGACTTGGGGCAGTCTGTCACGGTGGGGGGAGCTGGGGCAGGTAGACAGGCAGGGGTTGTGGCAGTGGCTCCCTGGGCTTAGTTTAGCAGGGTGGTGGGGCTGGAGGAGCCTGGGCCCCTGCGCAGTGGGGGAGCATGGCCTGGGGTTGTCAGGGTGTAGAGGGACCTGGGGTGGGTATTGCTGCTTTCCTGCCTGGGCTGGGGCTGGCCAAGGTAGAGTGTGATCCTTCAGGGCTCACTCCTTTGGTGAGCAGGAACTTTTTCCCTGTGCCCTGGGCTAGTCTGGGAGCACCCGCCAGCTGTCTGAGGACTGATTAGCTCAACCAGGCAGGGCTGGCACTATTCAAAATGGCCCCAGAGCAGGTCAGCCCAGGAGCCACAGGGCTTGCTGGCACTTGGTTCCTATGGAGAAGGTGTTGGGTGTAGGGGGCAGAAGGCCAGACCTGGCTGGAGTGTGGCTGCTGCTATGGGGTGCCTCCCTGGGAAGCTGCATGGGTTTCCCACTGCTGGAGCTGGGGCTAGAGGATTGCTCCAGGCAGGGTCCTGTGGCTTGTGGCTGCCTCTGCCTCCTCTCCTTCACCTGGGGCCAAGCAGAGCTGGAATACATTTGCCTGGAAACTTGAGGACTGAGCTTTCTAGTGTTGCCTTCCTGTGGGCAGTGGAATAGGGAACTTGTCACTGTCTCCTGCTTCCTGTCCTGCTGACAGCTGCACTATCAGTTCCCCCTGCCTGGTGCTCTGTTGGTGCCCAGTTCCTGTTTCTCATCTGTAACCATGCATCTGGTTAAGGCTTGCACCTCCATTACAGCCAGGGGCTGTGGGTGTGTTGGCTCTGTCAGGGGGTCTCCAGCAGCATTAGTCTGGCCTACACTGGCTCCTGCCCTGGTGCTTGGCTCTTAGTATTGCTGAGATCTTCTCAGATCCTCAGAAACTCCCAGTACTTTCAAGGAGTTGCTTTCACTGCTCACTTCCCTGGTGTTGGGGGTTTCAGCTCCTCTGCCCCTTCCCTAGCCTTGGCGTTGGCACGGTCCTGCCCCAGGGTCTGCTCTGCATGTCTGGGCTTCAGGGCTTTCCCCAGGCAGCAGGGGAGTGATGTTACTCATACAGTAGCCCCCAGTTTTGACTAGCAGAACTGCCTTGATCAGCACCTCGTCAACCACACTTTATCCTGCAGAGAGAAACTGAGGGCAGCAGTCATCCTGGACCTGCCTGCTCACAGGCCAGCTGCTCTGGGTAATGCCTGGAAAGCTTCCTTCACTACAGAAGTAGGCTTTTTACATCGAGACTTACCCATGGTAGAAATGGGCTGCTTGGCCCCATCTATCCCCTGCTGTTCTCTTTCTTTTGGGAGAGCTCTCTGATGGTTGGGAGGAATGGGTAGGTCCTGACAAGGGAATTTCACTACAAGCTAAAGGCAGGGCACCCTGATGTCCCAGGAGATCTGGGCCCTTCTCTTTTGGTCATAGTACCAGTTTGTGGTTCAGTATCTGTGTCCCCTCCAGCACTGATACAGAGAGCTCTCCCTTCCTCACTCAATTAGACCTTGAGGGAGGGTGCCAGGGGGAATCTCTCCCAGGCTCCTCAGCTGTGGTGACTTCCCAGGGTTGGATTCAGGGACAAAATGTCTTGGGGTAGCAAAACTGGCCTTTGCATGTGAATGAACTCTCCCTGCAGGGTTCCTGGCTTCTAGCTCAGCTTAGGGTATTGGTGCTTGGCTGCTGTGGGATTCAGAGCTCAGGGGATTTCTGAGTGAGATGCAGGTAGTTTGCCTCCTAAGATCTGGACTGCACTGGCAGGGAGTTGGGGCTCAAAAGAAGGGACCTTCCTTACACTGCTGCCATGCTGAGGTGCTGGGTGGAGCAGCCCTGCTGTGCCCCTCAGAGCAGGGAAGCATGGCACACTGGCTTGAATTCCACAGCCTGGAGCCATTCGCCTCTTCCACGGTGGGCAAACCACAGCTGAGTGGATGCTGGGTGTTGTGCTAGCTAGCAGCCCGTCACCACTTGTTCATCAAGCTGGGATCTTCCCATTGTGAGCCAGGTTTCAGTGTCCAGGCACTGATCTGTGCTGGGCTGACTCAGTGGCTTGTGGCATTGGAAAAAACTGGTCCCTTGTGAAGGAGTTCTCATGTGCCCATGCCCTTCCTTCATCCTAAGTTCCCCAAAAATGCTGTTTCTCCCCCATGGTCCTAGTGCAGGGTCTGTATGTGAAGGAACCATCAGCAAGCCACCTTGCTCTGCTTCATCTGCTGTTGAGGCTGTGCCAGTATCAGCCTCCTCTTGTCTACAGTTAGGGATGAGCTCTGTGGGGCAGTGGCCTGTGCCACATCTCTGTTCTGCTGAGTGCTCAGCACTGCTGTGTAGCAGAGAGAGGAGATGTGAGGTTGGACATCAAGCCCTGCATGAAGGCAGTATTTCACTGGCTGCTTAGGCCTGCTTTGGGCAACAAGCAGCTGTTCTCCCAGTGGGAAAACCTCCTGGCTCTGCTGTTGTGACTCCTGCTAGCAGTGGGCCTGGACTTCTGAGGGAGGGTGCATCTAGGCTGCATCTCCAGGGGAGAGTGCCTTTGGCTGTGGAGGCAGTTTCTGTAGGAGCTTCCAATGCCAGATTAATGCCCTTCCCTCATCCCAGACTCTGGGGCAGGATCCAAAGGAAGAGCAGGTGCATGGGTTGCCCTCCCCACCTCTTCCTGTTGGCTTGGGACCAGGACTTCATGCTGGATGAAAAGATGGGCCTGTCTGTAGGAGGCAGGGGCAGAGCCTGCTCAGCCTGGGTGGGACTTGAAATCTCTCTCAGGACTGGCAGCAGAGGACTGGCTCTGTTGACCATGTGACCTCTCTCTTCCCCTCCTCCCTGTAGAGACACAGAAACTGCTGACCCCTGTGATTAGCTATGGGACCCAGGATGGGGGGGCCGGGCCAGGCACAGGCTCTACCTCCCCCCTGCCTGAGGAGGAGGAATTGCGCAGACGCCTCAAGTACTTCTTCATGAGCCCCTGCGACAAGTACCGCGCCAAAGGCCGCAAGCCCTTCAAGCTGGTGTTGCAGATCATCAAGATCATCATTGTCACCATCCAGGTGTGTGGAGAGGAGGCTGGCTGGGCCGGGAGGGAGAGGGAGCCCTGCCAAAGGTCTGAATTTCCACCCCACCCCACCGCTCCCCCGCTCCCCAGCAGCAGGGAAAGGGGCCTCTGGTCTTCACTGTCCATGGCAGGGACAGCATCATCCTCTCCACCCCCCTGCTCCCAGGAGGGAGTCAGGAGCAGGCTGGGATGGTGATATGATTTCTCTTTCCAAGGCAGGGGCAGAGCCAGTCAAGTAGGGGTGTCTCTGCTCTGGCTTGGTTTGGGCTGCCCAATCTGCTTCAACCCTATGGTTTGGGGTGGTTGGGGGTGCTCTGGTGGATCAGCCAGGGGTGCAGGCAGGCTCTGTCCAGGAGTGGGGAGGCTGCATGGAAAGTCTGTTTTGCTGGATCCTGCTTCAGCTGTGTGGTGGGAGCTGCAGGAAGTGGCCTGGACATGTGCCCCAGGGCAGCTCTGCACAAAGGTTCTGTCCTGGAAATGTTGCTTACCCATCAGAGCCCCCTTGCACTGGAACAGTGTGCCCAGTCTGCTCAGGGCCCTGGCATCTCAGTTCAGGTTCGGGGAATGGTAGGTGTCCTGGATTGGGATAGTCCTGGAGCTAGGATCTGGACCTTCCCCTGTGGCAAAGGAAGCTCAATTGTGGCAACCTGTGGCTATTGGGCAGAGAAGTAGGAACTGGTGTGAAGGATCAGGAACCACCTCTCTCTGGCCTGTGGCTTTATATAAGGGAATGCAGCAAGCTGGACCTCAGCCTCTGCTGCTCTTGGTCTCCATTGTGTTCAGTGGGGACATGAAGGAAAGAGTTAAACAGAGGGGATGGGAATGCCAGGCTCTGGGAAGTCCCAGTGCTGCATGGTGAAGCTCAGTGGCTTGAAATAGCACCAGGCTAGGGATAAGCAAGGGCAGGCGCTGCTGCAGGGTTGGCTGGATGATTCCACAGGGATGCAGCTCCCATGGCCTTTGGGACCCCCTTGGGCCTGTTTTCTGTAGACCTCATGCTGGGACACCTCTCAAAGCCACAGGGCAGTGTCTTCCAATTGGTTGTTGCTGAGATGTTCCCTGGGATGGTGAAGGCCAGCAGCCCTGTCTGCTCTTCTGCTGTCACAGCCTCACTGTGGAGGGTATCATGGGCGCATGGGGCTCTGCTGTCTCCTGGCCCCACTTCTCCAGCCTTCTTGCAGGACACAGAAGTGGAGAACATGCTCGAAGCCCCAGGCCTGGCAGTGTCCCTGGAGAACCTTCCTGTCTCAGGGGTCTTGTGTTGACTTGCAAGCTATCTGACATCCTGAACAGAGGGAGCTTTCACCCCCAGCCCTGCTGGAGGTCACCCAGGCCCTGGCAGTGCCTTCTGGGGCTCTTCCCCACATGCCACCTCCAAATACTGAAGCAGAGATCCCTGCACAGACCTCTGCTGGCAGCTCCTCTTCAGCTCACCCTTGTCCAGGAAGGCACATTCTGCTTCCCCTTTGTCCATTCTTCCCTACAGCTTTCTCCTGTCAAGTTGCTGCTCTGTGTGCAATTGTACTACCACCTCGTCTCCCAAGTCACTGTCCTTTCCAGTCTGCACTTCCAACCCTTGCTTGGAGCTGCCCTCCCCCATTGTCCAGTGCAAAGCCCTCCTGTTTGAGCAACAAGGAGGCAGCTTGAACAAGGTGTGGATGAGAGCTTTGCTCCAGCTGCAGCATCCAGTGGGCCTGGGAGATGAGTTGTGACCTTGGTGCTGGGAAAAGAGGCAGCTCTTTTCCCCTTCTCACATGGTGGTGGGGGAAGTGATTGTTCTGCTAGTGCTCCCCCCACCCCTGCCTCCCTGGGGACAGTGACAGGTTTAACTCCTTCTGTGCAGTCTGGTCTTGCCGACCTGTGTTCCCAGTGTGGCTTGCTGTCATGTGGCTGCTTCTCAAGGCAGGCCTGTGTTAACATTCAGCCCATATCCATCATTCTCAGAAGGAAGTGTCAGCTGGTAATCGATATACAGCATGGCATGAGGAGGCTGTCAGCTGCATGGAGGGCTGTACTATCTCAAGATGCCTTGCTGAAACCTGCAGCACATGAGCTCAGTGCTGGGCTGTCTGTGGATCTGCCTGCGCCCTCCCTCCTCTGTCCTTTGCTCCCAGTGTTGAGGCCTGACCTCAGGGATGGTTTTGACCAAAGGGCCAAATTGAAGCCCGTGCACTGCCCATCTGAGCCTGGCAGTGGGGCACCCTGGTGACTACTATTAGCAACAGTAACTTGGAATCCTAGGAAAGTTGGATTGACTAGGACCTCCAAAGGTCTCTAGTCCGACCCCTGTTCAAGGGACAACCATCCCCGATAAACCGTCCTACGCAAGGGTCTGTCTAACCCAGGTGTGGGCAGAATACAGCCCCTGGCCCAGATCTGACCTGCCAAAAGATTTTATCTGGTCTGTGGTGAGTTCCATGGCCCTGCCTGACTCAAGCATGAGAGGCAACCTAGGCTGTGGCATGTACACCTGGTCCCACTATCCCCAGGCATGCAGTGGGGCTGGGGCAGCATGGTGACTGGACTTAGCTTCTTGGCAGTGGCAGCTCCTTTGGGCTCCCACTGCCAGTGTCATTGCCACTGCTGGACCCAGCCCTGTTCCCTGGGCACCCTAGCACATCTGCCCTGCACCTATCTGCCCTACACCCAGTGCCAGGGGTGCCAGATGGAGTGGGCAGGTGGGTGGATCATAGAATCATAGGACTGGAAGGGACCTGCGAGATCATCAAGTCTGGTCTCTTACCATGGGCAGGAAGTTATTGGGCTCCGACAAGCTCAACAAGGTGCTTGTCCAGTCTCATCTCGAACACCTCCAAGGATGGTGACTGCACCACATCTGCTGGGAGTGTGTTCCAGATTCTGGTGTCCCCGGTTTTTTGGAGACTGGGCCCAGGAGCTCTGTGGGCTGGGTGCACTCAGCTGGGCAGATGGGATGGGGCTGTGGGCAGGTGGGGAGTGGCATCTGGGAGCAGGATGGGCAGGTAGGGCCAGGACTGGAATCACAGGGTGGTGACAGCACAGGGTCGTGCAAGGAGTGGATTGTGGCTCTGCCTTCACCTCACCCTTGCCAGCACCTCCCACTCCTGGATGCCTCTCCCCACCCACTTGCAGCCCCATCTCATCCTCCTGGCCAAGTGTGCCCTGCCTGCTGGGGTCCCAGGCCGGTCTTGGAGATCCTGCCTACCCGCTCCATCTAGTGCCTCCAGACCGGTCTAGTAATCTACCACTTAAGGAGTTTTAGCAAGCTGTTGCGGAGGGTGCTGACCTGGCCCACAGTACCTCACAACTCCCTAAGTGGCCCTCCAGCCCAAATAATTGCCTACTTCTGGTCTAACCACTCTGAAACCTGTGGGGAACAAGCCTCACGCATAACCACGAGGCCCAGTGCCCCAGACATCAAAAAACCTTAACTTGCCCCAGGTTCAGGTCCTGCTAAGGGCCCTGCCACTGCCAGGACAAGAAGTTTGTTAAAATACACTCAAAGGGTCCAAGGAAGAGGGCTGTGCCCCCCTGTTGTAAAGGAAGGTGACCTACCCTGCCCCAGTCTGTGCTGCTCTGACTGTGATAAAATTCGTTCCTGCCCATCTTCCTCCTGCGTCTCACTGAGGTTCCAGGCCACAGAGGTAGCTCCAGATGGGCATTGGAGGGACCCAGCCAGGTGGGGTGTACCCAGGGACAAATTAAAGTCACATTGGCACATGCAGGCACATGGGCAGGGCTGGGATAGAGGCCCTGAGGTCTTCATGCATCTACATTGATGATCTCCTTGGGAAGGGACCAGGTTGTTGCTGTGGCTAGCTGTGTGCAGCATGCACAGGATGGGGATGTTTGAGGGGGAAGGGAGCCGGTGAAAGGGTAGGTAGGGCAATGGCTTTGCATACAGTGATGCTTCAGCCATGTTTGGGCGCTGTGGCAGGACTGCTTCCTCACCTGGTCCTGGGCACTGCAGGGTAGCAAGGGCAAGGGATCCATGGAGTGGACAGGTGCTGATGGAGAGAGAAATTATTGCCCAGGGAAGGGGAGGGGTCTGTGGTAGGGGCCTGTCAATCAGCAAATGATCCAGAGAAGAAGGTGGGTATCTCTGGTGTAATGCAGAGGCCCTGTTAGACTAAAGGGCCTGACACAAAGCTGCAGAGCACTGTGCACAGGCCAGGAGTGGACTGAAGCCACAAAGGCCAAGTGCTCCGCAGGATCGCAAAGGGGTTGACCTTTTCTGTGGGCAGTGGGACCCTCTAAACCTATGGTTAAGGATGCAGTGATGCACTGTGCCTGCTTCTGGCATCAGCTGCTCTATAGATGCTGCAGGTCAGGAGGATGCGGGCTGTGTGTAATCCCAGTTCTGCAGCAGTAGCTGAGGCATCCAGCACATGACAGGCCTATTGGTTATACATTGGCAGTGGGCCCAGGACCTATGAGTCCCCCTCAGTGGCTTGGGGGTAGGTGTGTGTGCACTAAATGCATAACAACAAATTCCATAGGACAAGTTGTGAGAATAACAGGAAGAAGAGTGTGTGGCAAAGGTTAATACCTAGGGTATCTGGGGGGACAGCAAGCAGGCAATACTGGCCAGCACCCACTGCCCCTTGAATGTATCCAACGAGCCTGCTGATGCCCCTAGTGAAACTGCATAGAGATGTGCATGAGGGAGTGAGGAAAACAGCCGCACAATCACACGACTTCCCCTCCCTTCCTTTTCCACTCCCCACCCCTGGCCAGCATCTCCTCTTGGTCTGGTACATGGTGAGCTTGGCTGAAGCTAGGTGGAGGTTGATCAGAAAGTCCAGAACTTGGCAGGGATATATATGGGGAGTGTATAAAGTAAAAGGTGTGGGGAGAAGTGCAGCAACAACCTCCCACAAGGCAGCAGAGGGGCTGTAGCCTCCATCATGGGGCAGGATCCCAGCTGGATGGCCCTGGGCTCCAAGCCAGCCTGGCAATCCCTGTGCTGTCAAAGCGGCCACAGTTGGGCAGGGGGAAATAGGACAATTTTGTCCAAGAGAACAATGAATGTGCCTTGGCCCTGCTCCCATTCAAGCCCTGTTGTTACTCATGAAGGGGAATGCACCTGCGTGCAGGGAGGGAACAGGTGCTGTGGCCAGGGCGAGGGAAGCTAGGCTTCTGTTCTCGATGGTGACAGTAATGCTGCCTCCTTCCCAGAGGCTCCAGGGGATGATGGAGGCTCATTGCAGATCCAGCCCTGAGGCCCCTGTGGTTCCTCTGGAGCTGTCCCCTCAGTGGAAACTCTCAATGCCCCATGGCTGTCTGATACCTTCCACTTCCCCTTCCCCTTCCCATTCTGGTGCCCAGTGCTGAGGCAAATCTCAGGTTACTGAAACCCATGGCAGGGGTGGACAACAATGCCAAGGTCAGTGTGGTTGTGCAGCAGCCACTGTACATGTGGGGGAAGCCCGTGTGCTTCGAGCATGGAGCTGCCAGGATGGGTCTCTGCCTGGAGGGGGACAGCAGCAAAGGCTGTTTCTTTTTGTTGTCAGGCATTGCAAGCACAGACCCCCACCTTCGCCCCCCAGGAGGCAGAGATGAGCAGGGTGGGATAGAGCAGGCCATGCTGATGCATCCCTGGCAGATGCCAGTGGCAGGCTTTGGCAGGTCCTCAGTGGGGCTTGGCTTCTCCCTTCCTGCAGCTCATCCTTTTCGGCCTCAGCAACCAGATGGTGGTGACCTTCAAGGAGGAGAACACTATGGCCTTCAAGCACCTCTTCCTGAAGGACTATGTGGATGGGGCGGAGGACACTTATGCTGTCTACACACAGCAGGACCTGTACGAGCACATGTTCTACGCTGTGGAGAAGGTGAGTGGCCATGGGCACAGGATGGAGTGGGAGCCATGGGGCTAGAGCAGTGGGTCCTGGCAGGGCATTGACAGCTTCTCCGTCTGCAGTACCTGTCCCTTCCCAATGAGACGATTGGGCGCTATGCCTATGTGCGCGGGGACCACATCAGGAACCAGTCAGCCCTCATGCTGTGTCAACAGTACTACCACAAAGGGCACATCGATCCAGCCAATGACACCTTCAGCATTGACCCCAAGATCATCACGGGTATGTGCCCCGTGGCTATGCTCTCCCACCCCGCACCTGCACAGGGCTGGATGGGAGACAGCAGGCAGGTCTCAGTTGAGGGAGTGGCAGGTGTCCCTGCAGGCCTGGCACTGCTGCTGCTGTCTGTTTTTCACCCAGATTCCCCCTGTGCCGCCTCCACTGTCTGAAGGGTTGGGTATGGGGGAGCCTGATCCCTAGGGCAGTGCTGCAGGTTGGATGCGGAGTGGGAGAGCCCTGGGCAGGGCGGCGCTGTCTTCAGGCAGCTTTACCTTCCCTGTCCTGGCTAGGCTGCCTGAGGCATCATGGGGCACTGCTATGCTACAGCCTCCTGCCAGTGTCTGCAGGGCAGCTTGTGCTTGGTTGGCTCTGTCCCTGCTTTGGAAAGAGACTCATGTCACTGTCCCAGCCTGTTCCTTTGGTTCCTTCCTGGGAGCCAGGGGGTGAGAGGGCCATGCTGTCCCTGCCACAGACATTGAGGGCCAGGGTCTCCTTCCTCTGCTGCTGAAGGCTGGGAGGTTGGGGGAGGGCAAGGAAAGCCAGGCTGGGGGTGCTGATGAGGCTCCCCTGAGGGCATTGCCCCCTCCTCTGCAGACTGCCAGGGCGTAGACCCCATGGAGAGAATCCCTTGGCCCCCGGAGTCGGAGGAGACTGAGCTGGAGCCAGAGCCACTGCTCTCAGAGCCCGACCACAGCTACAGGAACTTCACCCTCAAGTTTCACAAGTAAATGCATCAGCTCCACACCAGGTCCTGCCAGGGCACGCTGGGGAGGGGAAACTGGGGCATGGGTTGGGAACAGGCTTGCCTGAGGCTTCTCGTATGCCAACAGCAGGTCTGGAAAGGAAACCAAGCCTTCTCATTCTCCATGCAGCTCCTTCCACTGGCAGGCAGAGGCAGAAGCCTTGGGAGGGTGTGTGTGACCAGAGGGGGGTGGGATTGAGGAGCCCCATAACTGGGTGGAGGAGGATGGGCACTGCCAGGCAGCCTTGGGGTGGTAGCAGGAGGGCCTGGCTTTGAAGACAGAACTCGCTGCTCTTGTTCTTATCCAGGCCACCCTCCTCTCCTGTTTCCTCCCCTGCCCACGGAGTCCCAGGGCTGCAGCAGGTGCCACCACTAGTAATGGCATGGTGTTTCTGTCACACAAACATCTGCTCCCTGCTGTCCAGCATCTGGGATATGTCCACTTCCACGAGAGACGGGGCTGTGGGCAGAGGGGCCATCTGTGGCTGCAGCCCCATGTGTCACCACGGCGAGGGTGTGTGTGCAGGGACCTCCGGGCCTTGCTGCTGGTGGCTTGAGGTGGGTGGACAGGATCCTCGCTCTAGCCTCATGGGTTTGGTGGAACATAGACTGGGGGACATACTCCCCTCGGCCAGGAGGAGCTGCAGTGTTGGGGAGGGGGCCTTAGGCAGTGCATGCACCCTGTTCAGGACCTGCCATGCTGGGGTGCTTCACTGAAAGGGAAGGTACTGGTGACTGAGCTGGAGCACTGAGGCCCAGACTCCTGGGTCCTGGATCTGGCTCTGCTGTTGCCTCCGTTTCCCCAGTTGTGAAACAAGCCCAGTGCCTGTCTGTCATATGGCTGTGGGGCTCCATGTTGGCGAGAAGCCTTGGGAAAGAAAGGGAGTGCTGGGTGGGAGTACCCTCATCTGCTCAGGAGCTGCCTGCTGCTCTGATGTGCTGTGCTGGGTGTTGTCTCCTGCAGGCTCATCAACGTTACCATCCAGTTCAAGCTGAAGGCCATCAACATCCAGACCATCATCAACAATGAGATCCCAGACTGCTACACCTTTACTATCACTGTGAGTACCTCCAGCTTGGGCCCTGGGGAACCTCGGGACTGCACCCCCTGAGCCCATGCTGAGATCAGGCTGCATCATACAATGCTCACTGCTGACGCTTGATGGACCTCACTCACCTGCATGCCTTGGGGCAGAGAGCAGGGTTGGGTGCAGCAGAGGTGTGGCTGGGGCCTGGGGCTGTCCTGGGGGCCATGGTCAGTGCTGGGTGGCTGAGCCATGGCTGGAGGGATTGGGGAGGGGAAATTTGTGTCACTGGGCTTCTGGCCACTGCATGCATCTCCAGGAGGAATGTTCCATTCTGAGGAGAGGAAAACATAAGAACATAAAAACTGCCATTTCTTAGGTGAGACTCCAAGTCCATCTTGCTCCGTCTCCTGTGTCACATGGCAGCACAGAGCAGATGTTGGAAAGGAGAGTGAACTAGGTCTGCGTGGGGCTTTTTCCACTGTTCCTCTCTCACTTGCAGCCTCCAGTATGTAAGGCCTAGGAAATTCAGATTCAGAGGCCGTGTCCCTCACACCTGTACTCAATAGCTCCTGATGCCCGTTTCCTTCAAGAATGTGTCCAGTCCTTTTGTGAATCTGGTTAAACTGTCAGCTTCCATTGCATCTGGTTTCAATGAGTTCCACACTTTAATTACATATGGGTGAAAAAGAACTTTTGCTAGTTTTAAACTAACTTCTTTAAATTTAGAAGCTCTTCCTGGAGAGCCCAGGTCACCTGCTGAGCTTGTAGGGTGGTTCCTTCAGGCTGTGTGGAGGCCACGGTGCTGTGGGAGTGGGTTGTTGTGAGGGGAAGGCTGGCAGGGCCATCCAGGCATGGGGAGAGCTCTGGCACCAGGGTACCTAGCTGTGTCCAGCCTCTCCTTGCTGTGTAACAGCTGTCTTCTTCCCTCCCCCAGATCACATTCGACAACAAGGCACACAGTGGCAGGGTGAAGATCAGCCTGGACAACAAAGCTGATATCAAGGAGTGCAAGGACCCCAGTGTCTATGGCCGAGGTAGGGACCAGTGGCCGGATGAGTGGGCACACGGCTGCATTCCTATGGGGGTGCTATAGCCAAATCCCATGGCTGCCCAGGACCCCACTGCTCAAGCAAGCGCAGCTTCTTCCTCCCTGAGCTGAGCCTCCAGCTGCTCCCCTACTGCAGGGGAGGTCTCTGTATGACTGGCAGTGGGGATAGGGACCTCTGCTGGCCTCATACCTCTTGTGATGGTCTCTGAGGGCATATTCTGTTTACCTGGTTAGTGACAACCCCGGCCCTTTGACAGCTCCACTGGTACAATGCTGCATGCAGTGGGTTTAGGCCACTGCTTTCCCTGATCTCAGACCCCCACTCTGAGCGTGGGGAAGGGAGGAGGTGACCTGCAGCCCTGCTGCCCCTGCCCACAGCTCGTTCCCCTGTGCTCAGCCCCAGGCTGAGGCACTGCTCACACTCTTGCAGGAGACAACACCTTCCGACTATTCTTCGATGTGGTCGTCGTCATCATCTGCACCCTGTCCTTTGCGCTGTGTGCCCGCTCCATTGTGCGTGGTCTGATACTGCAGAGTGTGAGTCCTGTGCTTGACGCATAGCAGTGTGAGGGGCCCTACTATGCCAGGGCCATGCTCCACAGTAAGCCCTGAGGTTCCACAGCGCTCTGAATGGAGGCAAGGGAAGGCCGGGGGGGATATCCCTTGGGGATTGCTGCACTGCACTGACCCTTCTGGCCTCCTCTCCATAGGACAGGGGGTGAGAGTGGAGATGCCCCACCTCTGTGCTGGGAAAAGGGGAGACTCACCACCACTGGAGTTGCTCCTCTCTCCCACAACCCCAGGAGTCTGGGTCTCTTGTGAAGATGCATTTCCTGGCTCCAGCAGCCCTGGCTGCCGCAGTAGAGGGGGTCTCAGGCTAGTGTCCTGTGGCCATGTTCTCCAGCAGTGCCATCTCTCCTGACAGTGGCCATGGCAATGGCAGTGGCTATGGCAACAGCCAGCCATAGGTCCATCGCTCCCTCTCAGGTGCCATGGGCCCTGGTGCTGGGATGCAGGTCTGTATGTCTGGGGCCAGCATGGATCACAAGTTGGCAGCCAAGCCCCCCAAGAGACAGGAAGAGCCCTGAGCCTGAGGAGTGGGATGGAGGGGAATGCAGACAGGAATCTGTGTGGACCCAGGTGGGACTCAGCCCCCAGAGCAGTGGGACAGGCTGTGGAGCTGTCTGAGGCAAGGGCTCATGGCCCAGACTGCCCCCACAGAGCCTTCTGCAGCCCATCAGTCCCACTCTGTGCATGGTGGTAATGGCACAGGGCCCTGGTCCCTCTCTGCAGCCACACAAGGTGGGGGAGCTGCACAATGGTGATGCGGACCTCTCCGCTGGCAGGAGTTTGGCCAGTTCTTTGAGCGGCGCTATGGCCAAGTTGTGAGCCTGTCAGACCGTATGGAGTTCCTCAATGGCTGGTACATCCTGCTGGTAGTCAGCGACATCCTCACTGTGTCAGGAACCATCATGAAGATCAGGATTGAGTCCAAGGTATGAGCATCTCCTTTCCTCCCCCCTTGCATCAGCAGTGGGGCTGTGCTGGGTGGGCAGGACACAGGCACTGACAGCGCAGCTTCTCTCTCCACTGAGCCAGGGACCCCCTACTATGAGGGCCGGGGCCTGGTCAGGACATATGTGCTCACTGCAAGGGATGACGGTTCCCCTGTGGAGGTGTTGCACCCCCAACCCTGCACTGGCTGAGTTTCCTATCCAGCGCTGTTTCAGGTCTGTGCTGTCACAAGGCCAGGGTGGGTGCCGGTCTCCTGTCCCCATTACCTGTCTTTCATACTTGTCTCTGGCTTTTTGCCTGCTAGAGTGCATGGGGTAAGAGTGAGGCCACGATGCTGGATGGTCGCATTCATACACACCATGAGGTCCTTGGCACTGTAGCCCCATATTGTGTGAGCTTCTCCCAGCCCCACTGTGCCCCAGGCTGGAGCCTCACATGAAGCCACCCCCTCTGCCTTCATAGCATGTTTGGTTGTGTCATGTCTGGCCCCCCAGGCTGCAGTGGGTGCTGGAGACTGTGGGTGTAGGTGCAGGGCATGGGCTCCATCAGGAGCAGAGGAGCTGTGGGAGGTCTGCTCTGGCCTCACGTGGCAGCCCACTGTGCTTGTGTCCACAGAACCTGGCTAGCTACGACATCTGCAGCATCCTCCTGGGCACCTCCACACTGCTGGTCTGGGTTGGCGTCATCCGTTACCTCACCTTCTTTCAGAAGTACAATGTGAGTGCGACCAAGGGTCTGCCCAGGTGGGAGGGAGCCCCATGCCCTGCCCTGCACCCATGGCATAGCAGCAAGGTGGATGCCAGGCAAACACTGCCCTGTTTGCTGCCCTGCAGTGTGACCCATGCTATCCTACGCTGTGTCCTGCACCTGGCCTGGGTTCATCCTCCCTGAAGCCCAGCCAGTGCCCCCTGTCTTGCCCTGTGCACAGCTCTTCTAGGCCCTGCTGTCTCCCACCAAACAGCTGGAGTGATTTCCTGAGGTGGTTTTAGTGCTTTGTCCACTCCCACTGCCTGTCCTGCTCCAGGGGCCCAGGGTGTCTGCCCTGGAAAGGAGGGTGGGAGCAGGGCACTCTTTATCAGGGCCCCACAGGGATTCACTTCCTGCTCAAGACAGGGGCTCCTGCACATGCTGTCTGGGGAGCTGGCCAATCTTGACTCCCGGGTGTATCACCAGCTCACTTCTGTCCACGACTGGATCCAATGGCTGCCCACAGAGCCCCAACCCGGTCCCTACTGGCTTGCCCCCTTCCTCTCCATGTGCCAGTTGGCCCCTGTTTCCTTGGGGGTGCTGGGATTATGTCCTGGCCGAGTCTGACACTATTGGCTCTCCTGGGCAGATCCTCATTGTGACACTGCGGGTGGCATTGCCCAACGTCATCCGCTTCTGCTGCTGCGTGGCCGTCATCTACTTGGGCTACTGCTTCTGTGGCTGGATCGTGCTGGGACCCTATCATGTCAAGGTACTGGGAGTGGGGGGGTGATCTTTGGCCATTGTGGCTTCTACTATGTGGGAGGGGGCCATGAGGGTCCTTGGGCTGTGGCAGAGCACTGGGGGTTGCACCACACTGCTGTGTCCATGCTGGTTTATGTTAAGATGCCCCTTTCCCTTGGGGTGCAGCTCTAGCCTGGGACTGCAGGGTAGACAGTTCCCTTCACCTCAGGGAGGAGGCAGCTGGTCCTGGTTCCTCCCTAAGCTGCTGGTTCAATCAGAGCACAGGCAGCAGCCGCCCATCCCTGGTGCCCAGCTGGCTTCCTCTGCTCTGCCCAGAGTGGTGGCTGCGAGGGAGCAGTCTCCTCCTGTTCCTGTGCTGGCTCAGGGTACTCAGCTGAAGCTGCTGCAACTGTACTTTGGGGCTCGGGTCTGCTCAGCTCCCAGGCAGGCGGTTTGGGGGCAGCTGGTGAGATCTGAAGTGTGGTGAGATCCCCAGGGCCTGGTAGCAACTCTGCTACCGGGGCTGAGGCCATGTTCTGCCCTGCTGCACCTGGGAGGCAGGTCCAGACACAGGCATGGGCAAACTGGGAGGCCGCCCAGGGTCCGGACAGAAAGGGGGCCCCAAAATGGTAATTGTTTTCTGTTGTCTGGTTATTAATATAATTATTTCTGGCAAAGGGGGCCCAATACTAACAGTTTGCTTGGGGCTGCCAGGAGTCTAGGTACAGTACTGCTGAGAGAGGTGGGAGTGTAGAGTGCGCACCATAACTTTGCCCCCTAGGAGAGGTACTGCAGGTGCCCCAGACACAGCCAGCTGGTGACAGTCACTTCCCCCTACACCCCCGTGCAGTTCCGCTCCCTCTCCATGGTGTCTGAGTGCCTCTTCTCCCTCATCAATGGGGACGACATGTTCGTGACCTTTGCGGAGATGCAGCAGAACAGCTATCTGGTGTGGCTCTTCAGTCAGCTCTACCTGTACACTTTCATCAGCCTCTTCATCTACATGGTGCTCAGCCTCTTCATCGCTCTCATCACCGGTTCTTATGAGACCATCAAGGTCAGGCTGGGAGTGGAGCACAGCATGGGAGGGACTGAGGATGGAGCTTGGTGGCCGTGGGGCCCAGCCAAGCTGCTCAGAGCCACCTGGGACCATAGGGAAGGGAGATGCCTCCATCTGGGGGTGGAGAAAGGCATGCTGGGGCTGCGGTCCCTGTGGGCTACCCTTCTGGTCAGTCACAGCAGCAGGCAGGCGTGTTGTAAGCTGCCCTGGTGCTAGTGGGCACCAGATGAGCCTAGTGTGTGTCCTCCCGGGAGGTGGTTTAGAGACAATCGTCTGCTCCCTGGGAGAGGGGTTGGGCTTGATTCCTGGCTCCCTACCAGAATTTCCTCGGCCCATGAGGGCAGAGCTGAGGCTCCAGCACTCCCTGCATCAGGTGCCAACTGGTGTCCTGGCTGAAGGTTGCACTCCCAGTGACCCTGGGAGCCCCCCTCATTCCAGGTCGTGAGTCTGTGTCAGGCCAGGCCCAGGGCATGAGTCTGGCAGGCAGGAAGTCAAGCCATCAGTGCCCTAGATGCAGCTGTTGGTGAGCAGAGACCCTGGGTGGAGGCGCCAGTCTCGTTGGGGCCTGAGTTCAAATTCCACCACTGCTAAGGCCCTCTCTGTCATGTCCCTGCAGCACCAGTGTGAGGGCAGCATGCCCGTCACACAGCTCCACGCCTACATTGCCGAGTGCAAGGACAGCCCCAAGTCTGGCAAGTTCCGCCGAGAGAGCACCTCTTCCTGCTCAGTCTTCTGCTGCTGTGAGGGGTACGTGTGCTGGTCTGGTGTGACCTGGACCTCTGGGCTCTGGGTGCAGACTGGCAGTGGGCAGGGTTGCAGTTGGGGGCTGTAGCTGAGTCTGCTCCTGCTTTCAAGGGGACACAGGCTGCAAAGTCACTGTCTCAGGGAATATCAGGGGCTGTGGATTGGGACAGAGAACCACTGGCAGAGCATAGGGGAAGCCCAGGGCCGGGATGCAGAGGGGCAGGGCAGCAGAGGGGACAGTGGACTCTAAACAGGTGCATTTCCTCTGCTCTCTGGAGCTGTGTCTTAAATTACAGGCAGGAGCCTCATCCCAGGGGAGACAGCATGTCACTGGTGGCCCCTAGGGAGTGCAGGCTGACGTGCGGAGGGAGAAGAGGTCCCCAACACAGGAGTTTGGGTAGGAGTGAGCCCCAGATGTGGGGATAAACAGCAACCACCAGTGCCCAGGGATGTGGTGCCTGCAGAAAAGCTGGTCCTGGTTCCTGCTCTGCCAATGGTGTGCCCATGGGCATTGGAGTGAGGGGTGTTTCCATGGTTGGGAGGAGCTCATGGTTTCCCTCACCCCTCTGCAGGGCCCCACTGGAAGAGAATACACTGCTGGTGAACTGAGCCTCGCTGCCGTGGGAGACTCGCGCACCCCATGGAGCTGCACTGCTGGGGACCTGTGCCAGTGTAGGGGCCTGTCTGGACGGCCTGGTCTGGGGATGGAGCTGCCCCGCTGCCACCCAGGCCCCTCTTCCCGTGCCCGATAGCCATTCCTCCTGCTGGATGCCAGTGACCCATGGCAAGAGTGGGCTAGGCTGACCCTGAGTGGTGTGTGCCCCTTACAGAGGCGAGGCCAGCCTCTTTCTGCAGAGTGAACCCTGGACCTATGGGCCCTGCAGTGGGAGCTGCCATGGCTTTGGAGCACCCGCTAGTTCTGCGTGACTGGTTCTCACCAGGCTGCATGGTCCTCGGGGCAGAATGGAGGGGAGAGGCTGAGGGCCCCACTCAGGCCAGTTGGGGACAGAGCTTGGCAGGGAGGCTAATGTGTCCCCAGCACTGGAAACAGCATCCACCCCCACCCCTCGCTGCTGTGAGAGAGCCCCCCCACTTGAGCCAGGGGCCTGCTGAGAGTGGGTCACTGGGTGCTTGGCCATGCCCATATCCCACTTTGGGTGCCCCATAGCTCCTGTGCTCAGAGACTTCTTGCCTTAGCAGTACCTACAGGACATGCAGCTCCCCTGTCCCTGCTCTGTGGGGGCCGTGGGGCAGCACATGGCCTGCTCCTCAGTTGCTTTTCCTCCTCTCCCCTCTCCTGCCCCTGTTCCTTCTGGTCCAGAGAGGGAGGAGCCTTGCCCTGCCCTGTGGTATCAGGAGATTCCTTCAGGTCCAGAGCTCACTGCATCTCTGTAGGGGCTGGGGGAACACTGCTGCTCCCCTCATCTGACCGATTCTCCTGGGAGGACCTGGGACCATCTCAGCAGTTGTGTTCTGGGCATGTCCCCTTCGTGCTGTCGCTGGCTTCTCCTCACATAGATTTCATAGATGTTAGGGCTGGAAGGGATCTCGAAGATCATCAAGTCCAGCCCCCTGCCGCAGGGGCAGGAAGTCAGCTGGGGTCAAAGGGTGCCAGCAACATAAGCATCCAAACGCTTCTTGAATGAGTCCAGAGTAGGTGCCTGCACCACCTCTGGAGGGAGTCTATTCCAGTTCTTGGGGGCTCGGACAGTAAAGAAATTTTTCCTTATGTCCAGCCTAAAATGGTCTTGGAGGAGTTTATGACCATTGGTCCTTGTTTTTCCTTGGGGCACTCTGGCGAAGAGGCGTTCTCCCAGATCCTGATGTGTACACCCCTTATATACTTATAAGCAGCCACCAGGTGCCCCCTGAGCCTGCACTTTTCCAGGCTGAAAAGCCCCATGGTTCTCAGCCTCTCTTCATAAGGCCTGTTCTTTTGTTCTTTGATCATGCGTGTGGTTCTCTTCTGGACTCTCTCAAGCTTCTCAACATCCTTCTTGAATTGTGGAGCCCAGAATTGGATGCAGTACTCCAGCTGTGGCCTCACCAAGGCTGAGTACAGTAGGAGGATGACATCCTGAGATTTACTTGAGAAGCATCTGTGGACGCAAGCCAAAGTATTGTTTGCTTTGCCAGCTGTGACATCGCGTTGGTGGCTTATGTTCATCTTGTGGTCAATCATGACCCCCAAGTCTCTTTCAGCTGTGGTGCTAGCAAGCGTAGCACTGCTAAACCTATAAGCATGCTGCCGGTTTTTTCTCCCAAGGTGGAGTACCTTACGTTTATCTATATTGAATATCATCAAGTTTGTATCCACCCACTTACTAAGTTTATTCAGGTCAGCCTGGATCACTAGCCTGTCCTTTGGTGTGGACACTATGCCCCAAAGTTTAGTGTCATCAGCGAACATAGCCAGTGTGCTTCTGACACCAATGTCCACATTGTTGATAAAGCTGTTAAAGAGAACTGGTCCAAGGACAGAGCCTTGGGGAATGCCACTGGTCACAGAGCACCATGATGATTCGCTACCATCGACCACTACTCTCTAGGTCCGACCTCGGAGCCAATTACCCAGCCATCGGACTATGGTGAAGCCAAGGCCACAGTTGGTTAATTTTTCCATAAAGAGGTCATGGGACACGAGATCAAAAGCTTTTTTAAAGTCCAGATATATGTCAATCTCTTCTCCCTTGTCCGGATGATATGTCACCTGGTCATAGAAGGAGATGAGATTGGTCAGGCAAGACCTACCCATGACAAACCTGTGCTGGCTGTCCCCCAGGATGTTGCCTTCAGCCAGCTTATCCAGAAGGGTCTCCTTGATAATTTTCTCCGGAATCTTACCGGGGATTGAGGTCAAGCTTATTGGCCTGTAATTCCCGGGATCAACTTTCTGCCCTTTCTTGAAGATGGGTACCACATTAGCCTTCTTCCAGTCTTCAGGTACTTCACCTGAGGGCCACGAATTTTCAAATATTTTTGCCAATGGTTGGGGTATGACACCTGCCAACTCCTTGAGTACTCTAGGGTGTAATATGTCCGGGCTAGCTGACTTGAAGTTGTCTAGCCTCTTGAAGTGATCCTTTACTAAATCAACACTGATGCTGGGTATAAATATGCCCTCACCTCACATCTCGATTCTCTTCCCTGCGGCTGTGCTGGCACTGCCTGGGATACTGAGCAGTGTTGTCCCCTGCATTTGGACAGGCTGGGTTCATGTTGAAGCTTATTCCAGGTATGGTTTGCCTGAGCAGGTCCTGCACAGAGTGAGGGCCTGGCTCAGTCCCTTCTGCTGCCTCTGGGGTTTGAAAAGCTTCAGAGGCCTTAAAAAGCCCCCCTGCTTTTCCTTGCTTCTGCTGGGACCTTGAGATGTATGGCAGGGTTGAAGCACACTTCCCCTGGCAGCTGCAGGGTCTTGCAAGGGGTTGGCAGATGCCTGTTCAGTTGGACCCAGTGGGTCATGTGTCTGCTCGAGGCTTCTGCCACCGCATCCAGAGCCCCCAGGGGACCTCTGGCACCCAGGTGAGCCCTGCCCCTGAATGGACAAGCAGGAAAGGCTTCTAAAGTCCTTGGTCCTCTGCTCCAGGTGCAGCCTGGCCACAAAGTCCCACTTTCAGACTCTGCCCCCCACCCCTTCTGTGTCCTCTTGGGCACCTTGGCACTTTAATGTTTCTTGAATCAGGTGAGTTTAGAGATTGCTGCTGTGACCAGCCACAGTTCTAGGCATGCTCCCAGACTGGCTCTGGAAGGGTATGCTTGGAAAGGGGCACTGCCAGTGGCAGAGCCCACACTTGCCCAGTTTTGGGGTTCCCTGCTCCCCTCCCTATGGGTTTGTTGAGATCCCACCAGGGGCTGGCTCCCCTGGGTTGCACAGCTGCAGGGCCCTGTTTTCTTCTTTAGCATTGCCCCATTTCCCTGCCCTGGGATGCAGTCTTGGTTGCCCTCTGCTTCCCGCATCCTCACTCCCACCATGTCTGGTGGCAGCGTCCCCCCGCTCCTCTCACTGGGTCACCACTACAGGCCTTCCCTCTCCCCTGTGGCTGCCTCTTCTCTGCAGTGGGGTTCCCAGAACAACCCCCAGCTTTCTCTCACCTGGCTGAAACCAGACCCAGGGGCAGGCATTTGAGGCTGGACAAACTCAGACTAGAAAGGCGCAAACTCTGCAGTGAGGTTTGTTGACTGGGGCCCAGTTCTTCAGCAGCATTGAACCAGTTGTAGGGGGCCAGATGAGATGGCTCCTCCTGCCTTGGTACACTGATGCAGGGAGGAGGTAGTGTCCTGGGGGTGGGATGTGAGGGTGCCCTGGCTTCCAGCTTCTGTTCCCAAGGCGGTTTCTTTCTCCTGCCCTAATGTGGGACACAGCATCCCCAGTGCTCTGCCTGGGCAGCTCCATCAGGAAGGGCTGCAGCCTCAAGCAGGTTTCCCTTCTAGCCACCTCTGCCATAGTGGGGGTATGGGGCTCCTCTGGGCTTGCCAACACCTTGTAGATCTCTGCCCTTTCCTGGAAGCTTTGCTGGATGGTGTGAGTTCAGGCCTGGCTGCCACAGCCTCACACTGCAGGCATGGGGAGGTGCCTTTTTGTAGGGGGTGCACCGCCACGCTCGGGGTGCATGTGCACCTATGTGCACCCCTACACATCGCCCCTGTGGCAAGTAGAGTCACACAAGGAGCAATGGGTCACAAACTGACAGAGCAGATTTGGGCTAGATATCAGTAAAAACTCATTCACAGTAAGGGTGGCCAAAATTTGGACTGGGCTCCCAAGGGAGGTGGTGCTCTTTCCCACCTTGGGGGTCTTTAAGAGAAGGCTGGATAGGCACCTGGCTGGGGGCATCTGGCCCAGCTCTCTTTCCTGCCCAGGCAGGAAAGAGGACTTGACGATCTGTTGAGGTCTCTTCTGACCGTAGCATCTATGAATCTCAGTGGTGGGGCATGACTGAAGTAGGGCAGGACTCTCAACTGCTGGTGGTTGATGGGAGAGGAGGTTAAACCAGTGCTTCTCAACCTTTTCAGACTTGAATCACCCTTCCTTAGCCTCAAGCAGGGGCAACGTGTAGGGGGCGCACGGGTGCACATGTACCCCCTGAGTGTGGCAGTGCACCTCCTACAAAACGGCGCTGCTGACAGTGTTGGCGGTGCCTGCGGGTGGTTGCCTCTCACCACCATGCTGCTGACACTGCTGGTGGCATCTGCAGGCAGTCCGCGGTTGCTGCATGCCC